AACCATTAACCTGATGATTACCATGGTGACCATTCTAAGTGAGCTTGAGCATGGTTGAGGGAGTGGGCAGCCATTCCCAAAGGCTCTGATCCATACATGTTAGATGGGAAGTACAGGGGTGCCAGGCCTGTCACCAGAGCATTATATATCAATACGAACTGATATCCTTAAATAGGTTCTGGTCCCAGCCCTGCTGCCTGAGAGCCAGAGCCAATGACCTTCCTTTCCCAGATCTCAATTGCTTCAGCTGAGAAGGTTAACTTTGGCTTGGAAGCCAGCTGAACCACAATGAAGGAAGGTTAAAACCACGAAGCAAGTTTCTCTCAAATCAATGAATTCTACATAAGAACTGCCATAGCTTTACTTCAGGTCTGTTCTATATATAAAACATAAAAACTTCATTTAAAGAATTATTTTTATTTTGTGTGTATGTGAGTTTTACTTTCATATATTATATGTCCCACATATGTGCCTACTGCCCTCAAAGTCCAGAAGAAGGTGTTAAGAGCCTCTGAAATTCAAATCACAGATGGCTGTGAGGCCTATGGTTGCTGGAAACTGAGCCTAGATCCTTGTGGCCTAGATCCTTGTGAGCAGAGCAAATGCTCTTACCTCTGAGCTATCCCTCCAGTCCCATCATTTAAAACAAATTACAGAATGGTACAGATAAATGGTAGCTGAGCTGAATTCTTTTTTAGTGCCTTAACTTAGCAAAGTAAAAAGTTCACAAAAAATGAAACAGCAACTCTTTGCTAGTCCTAAAGTGCTCTGATCTGAAACAGCAAAATGATGGGGACCCTCTAGGTGGAATGGTGTCTGGGGTCCTAATGGCCAGGATGCTCCATTTCATATCACATCTGCATGTGCACTCCATCACTGCCTTTACTAAAGAAAGGGTAGTTGGTTGTCAGGGTTTTTAACTTTTCCTGGTTCTCTACTATGCCTAGAGTCACATGGCAGCCTTTAATGCTGAACACACTGGGTGTGGTAGCACAGGTCTGTAATCACAACAATCAGAATGCAGACAGAAGGATCAGGAATCCAAAGCAATCCTCTGGTACTTAGTGAGCTTGAGGCCAGCCTGGGCTACATGTGACCTTGTTTCCCAAAAAAAAAAAAAAAAGAAAGAAAGAAAGAAAGAAAAAAAAAGCTGAGAAATGGATAGAGAAATGCGGCTTGTGTACACAATGAGATTGTTCTTGGCCATAAAGAAGAATTAACTCATGCATTTGCAGGAAAATGGATGCACTAGAGAGTGTCCTATGAAGTGAATTAAATGAGTCTCAGAAAGAAAAATATCTGATGTTTTCTCTCCTTTGTGATTCCTAGATTTTATATAAATACGTAAAACCACATGTGCATCTATAATATGAAAGTAGGAACAAACTGTTTAAGGGGACAAGGTGCTATCAGGAGTGGGAGGGAGAAGGGGGTAGGCCAGGGAATATGCTCAATATACAATATATACTTGCAGGAAAACTTCAAAGCAAATAATTTTTTTAAAAAAGTCCAACAGATGAATCTCTGAGTTCCAAACAAGCCTGATCTACAGAGCGAGTTCCAGGACCGCCGGGAGCCCACAGAGAAACCCTGTCTTGAAAATAAAAATCCAACTTTTTAGAACCTTCTACCCAAATAAATGCAATCAGTCTCTGGAAGCCCGGCCATGCCACAGGTACACTGTAACCCTGAGGTGCAACCAGTAATGAGCCTTGACTGAGAGCTTTACAGGCCTGACCCTCTGGGAGAATTACTTGGGACAATTTGAATAAAAAATCAGATTCCTCAGCTACACTCCAGCAGAAACCCTAGAGCCAAGGAAACCATATTTTCAAGTTTTCCAAATAAGGCTACTGTTGTGATTCAGTCTGGAATTTATAAATCGAATAAATTATTTTATTTTATTTGTAGTAGCAATATGAGAGAGAGACTGTGTGTGTGTGTGTGTGTGTGTACAGGTACATATGCACCACAGTGTGTGTTTAAACATAGGACAAACTTTCAGGAGTTCTCCCCTCCTACCATGGGTTCCAGGCATTGAACTCAGGTCATGTGACAAGTTCTTTTTACCAGCTCAGCTGTCTCGCTGGTCCTAGTACTTAGAAATCAGAGAGCTCTTAGACACTGAGCATGCATGAACTCATAAAGGTTCACTGTTCTGTGCATTTGGCTGGGACTGGGGTCAGCATCAAGGAATCATTCATCTTCTCATGGAACCCTTCATTGAACTGTCTTTCCTAAGAGCTCAGTGACTTCATGGAATCCCTATCAATCCAGCATCTCTGAATCATGAACCTGGGATGGATGCGTAAGTGATGCAGACAGAGGCAAGAAACTATCAGAAACACAGCCCTTTACCAGACCAGGAGCTGGATGTGTCCCATACTTGGGCAGTTTTTCAGGTTCATTGGCTGTGTCCTTCTCACGCTCCCAGATAGACTTCAGGATCCGCACTCAACACAGCTAGGCCACAGGCCATCAAGGATAGATAAAACCTTCTGAGACAGAATTCATATGAGAACATCGCTCTGCGCCCAGAAGTGAAATCAACAAAGCTGCCCGTGTCCGCAAGCCACTCTTGCGAGATATTCTTTTGTCAGCCTAAACCTCCCTTTGAGAGGCTGAGAGCTCTGCAATTTTCTTAAGCAAAGTCTAAAGGACCTGGAAATCTTCACAAATATATGTTAAGCATCCAGAGGCTTTTGCGTGACTGAAACAGAGCGTGTGATATACTAGATCACAGGCTGGTGATCACTGAAGGCCAGAACATAGCCTGTGCTTGTGCTTCCGTATCCCCAGAATCCTCGCAAGAGCAGCTAGGATTGAACAGATATCCAGGAGGAACTTACTCTGCCCAAAAGCCCTCTGCCTGAAGCATCAGTCTTCACAGAGCTAAGAACAGGGTCTAATAGGATGAAGGACACTGAGATACCTATTGAGGGATGCTCCTACAACCTAGGCATTCATTCACCCAAGAGGCAACATTTATGGAAAACCCCCTCCATTCTATAAAAGACACTCTCCTAATCACTTTGAACGCACTGATTTGTCTACTTCTTACTGTTCACATGTATTTGAGGCAGGTGCCACTGTTAGGTACACTTCATAAAGAAAAGGAGAGACATTCAAGTCACCCCACAAGCAGTACTCGCTGGAATCAGTATTCAGAAAGACCAAACTGGTCCCCAGATAATATGCCAGGCACTGTGCTAGGCATTTGAGAATACAATGGTGAGCAACACCACAGAGTCCCAGGAGAGCGAAGTCTGAGAGCAGAGAGGCAGGGAGAGAGAGAGGTGTGGAGGCAGGTCCTCCACTGATCTGGTGACCTTAAAAAAGGCTTTTCCATTCTCTAGGCGCAATGCACACTGGACAATGTAAAATATTCTCTGAAATATGTTTAGCTCAAAGAGAATCAAAAATACGTAGTATTGGGGAAGGACCTGCAACTGAATGGGTT